CAAGTTTTCACAATTTGGTCAAACATTTTTTGAAATGCTAAGGTAGCTCAAGTGTAGGCTTTTTCCACGTAGACACGTTCTTCTGGATAATGAGGAAACTTTATTCAGTAAATTTTCCTCATCATCCCGGAAACCGTGTCTCATCGAAATTACCTTTCTTGGGATGCCTGTTTTCCAATTTATGCGAAGCAAATGTAAGCTCTTCCGGTGTACAAGTTCGCGCGAAAAGGTCTTGTCAGACCACTCCTCGTGGGACCTTTGCTTGTGCTTTGCTTGCTCATTCCCTCCACAGTCGACTAATCTCTACCATTTTGAAATATCCTTGGTTTTGTTTCTAGCCTGGTCCCTTACGCGGCTGACAATATAAAAAAGTGCCCATAGACAGCGCCTTAGAATTCTTCGTCCGATTCTCTTCTGGTAAGATTTCATTAAATTCAATCTAATTGTTTGTCTCCGAAGATCTGAGCGGTGGCAAATGCCCATTGTGGGTCAGAACGTATGACCTGCGTCAGGTCGAAACGTTTGGCTGTTGGTACTATTCGCAATGGTATTTTCACAAACTAGACCAGGATTAAAAACGAATGTTTGAATTAAATGGACACTTTCTGTCTGGATACGGTCGTTGACGTTTTTCATACGCATTTTACTCCCACGAGGTATCCTTACCTACTTTACTATACCAGAACCAAAGTTAAAGAGCTAGCATTTAGTGGGTATATTAAAAAAACGCTCAATAAATATGCTTGGAATGTAGGCAAGTAATTTTTCGTCGGTCTCAGCTATTAAATTCTGACGATTACAGGTAATTACAGTGCACTTCCTATAGGGTGAATCGTTAAGCTGCACATTCATTTCTGAGCTGATAAAAAGCTGATTCGTTTACCTACATCGAATACTACACATATTTTCTTCACATTTGTTCATTGCATATCTTTTGGGCACGAAATATTATCATATGAGCATGAGAGCGGAAAATTTAAATAAATCTCCTTATTAAAATATAAACATTTACGCGAATAGATGGTGCCAAGTTCATTTGGAAATCAAGTATAGCTAATTTATAATTTTGGGAATTTGCAGTAAAAGGGTGTTCAATCAGCAATTAGAACATACCTGTCATGTCCTCAGCTACAAGTGGTCGGCGTTCACGACCTAGCGGATCAGAAATATGATTTGAACTTTAAAATATGGTTTCCCCAGAGCATCACGTTTAGCAAAGGAAAGAGTCGCAAAGCTCCCGATTCTCCTGACTTCAGAGCTTTACTTTGAATGTCTATTCAATTTTGCGGAATTGTAGTCCATATGGCCGAATTTTGCCGACAAGTAGAGTGAAGTAGAACATTTCCGGTCAAGTGTGCATTTCGTTAAACGGGAACAAAATACCAAATCTCAAAGAATGCATGAAAACGCTCGCGTTCCATGTATTTGCATGGATGAGATAGAAGAATTTTCGAGCACAGGATCGATTGGTTTATTGCTCTGAGCCTTCGAACTCAGCGTTAGAGATAAGAAACAGCAACGAAAAGGGGGTAATTAAAGTGCAGTCACGCTCAGACGTTCGTCACATTTAATGGGCCCACATCCTCTATAATAAGCCCAATTTACGTTGCTAACGCTCTGACGAACGTTGCCATTACTGACAGCTAATTAAGGTATACCCCAACATTTGCCCTCCCCCCCTCCTTTTTCATTGTTGTGTCTTTCCCCCTCACGAGGCGACGAACTCCTGACAGCTGATTAATGTACATCCACTACAATTACCCCCATTTTGTTGCTGTTTTTTCATCTCTGACAATGGACTCCTGTAAGAGTTCAAAAGCTCAGAATAATAAACAGACTGATCCGATGCCCGATAACCCTTCTTTCTCATCCAAATCTGAAAGAATTTATAGCATTTTGGAAACCATGGCTTTCAGACAATTTCAGATCGGACCCAAAAGTATTATCACATTTGCATCTGACAGGTAGCAGGCGATGATTCTTACCCTGCGCCCCACCGGGTGGACGCAGAATAGTGCCCACTGCTCTCCCTCCTCTTTGGCTTACTGGCCTTGATGGCAAGTTAATTTCAAGACGACAGAAGGCAGGCTCGGACGCAGTGTACCTAACCATTCCATTTACGCTTGCAACTCACAACCTGGTTTCCACAACGCCTTGGGATAGCGTTTCGCATATATTTGTCCTAACGTTCACAACGAAAAGGAGGCAATGGGCCTGAATCACGGTCCTCCAATCGGTCACCCTACGCACAAAGTACTAAAAGAAGTACAACTCAGCCGTCAAGTCCGGTTCATCGACCTGTGTTTGTCCATTCAAAATTATTATTTTGCTATAGTAGATGGGCGCTCACCGATCGATACGGAACTC